GGGAGGGGCTTTAAAAAATCGGTGAGGTCAAGGGGGAGGGCGTAAAATCTGGCTATAGAACTAAGTGCCTGATTAAATGAGCCGGGCTTGCTCGCGTTGCAGAGATCTAGGCACCTTAGTTAAATGCAAGAAAAATCAACTTTGCGATTATATGACAACCGACCCAGCCCGGTTAGCTGGGACCCCTGTATTGTGATGCCGGGATCCCATTGCTTTCAATCTCTATATAAAAATACCGGGATAAAACTCACCTCGGCAGAGCTAGCCAGCCCGGCTCATGTGATCAGGCCCTTACTGTGAGTTGTATTGCACGTGAAAACTTTGGAATTTGCCGCTTTCGTGGTTCATGTATGACAGAGTACGACTTAGGGCCTGTTTACATGGAAGTGGGGGACCCCAGGTAGGTGAGGTAACATGTGGTGGGTCTCCCCTCCTATCATGTAAACGTGATCGAACTTAAATGAGAGATTATATGGACAGGCGGGTTACCTCACCTAAGCGGGTTACCTCACCTACCTGGGGTCCCCCACCTGCATGTAACAGTCCCTTATAATCTAGACAGATTCACCTTCAAATTTCTGAAAAATCGCCGGCCTCTAGGTAAGATAAAAAATACCGTAAGCTTAAGATTTACAAGTTTATCTTTTCCGAGCAAAAAATCGTCCCCTGAGAGGACATGTCCTTCCTTACTTGCAACGAATAGTCTGTACAATGAAAAAGGGCAATGACCGGTACCTATCGTTTGGAGGAAAAACATTCCCACCGTATGCTGCGATGATAATTATTTTCCAAAGGGAAAATTTAAATTATTTAATATCGTAAAATTCCGAAAATAAGCCCCGGGGCTTATATTTTACAAAGGCCCTTTTTGAAGGGCTTATTTTTTGATGGGCTTATATTCGGGGGGGCTTATCTACGGAGGGAAATTTGCGTTTTCAAAATCGATTGGGCTGGCCTTATAGTTGGAGTAAATTTGCCGTTTTTGCTTTGTTTTACTTTGTATTTGAGGGCAATTTTCCAAGTACAAGCCCCCGGCTGGCTTATATTTGGAGGGAAAATTTTAACGGAGGGTTTTTTGCGTTACCGGTTTGGGGGGCTTATATTTGGAGGGGCTTATTTTCGGAATTTTACGGTAGTTTGTCTCACTCAGTGTACCTTGTTTTTTTCACTGAATACGTTTGATTTCTATTGCCAATTTGTTTGCCGTGCGTTATCTGAGGGATGTAACGAGGATAAATGCTGGCAGACATGTTCTAGACTATAGCAACTTTGAATCAAAACAAGCGATCTCGATTACTCTAATTGGGCGACGCCCAAATAATAGGCTTCTTTTGAAATGGTCTACGTTACAATGTCATTCGAAGCGACTATGCTTTCTCGGAACAACTGCGGTAGACATATCTGACACTGCAATATTTATTAAGAACATAAACATGAACAAGTAGTGCTGATTTTTTTCTTGAAAATACGGGGAAGTTTCTTAGAATTACTTATGTGTAAATAAGGTAACGATTCTGCTTTGGACAAAGACAGTATTATCATTCGTTTGAAGTGGTTTGACCACAAAAAATTATGCAATTTTCATACAATCAGCCTATAGCCTTGAAAAATAATCCGAACTCAGGTTCTGTTAATATAAACCTGACTATACCTGACATGAAGGTCAGTTGTTGCACGAACCATCGAGTAAATAAAAAATTCTCTGCCTAGCAAGTTGTCTTCGGTCACCATTGAATGATTTTCTCTTTCGACTTTTCTACACAAAAACATTTAAAAGAATCTTGTTGAAGGTTTACGACAATACAGTTTTCAAAGTCCATTTGAATTGAAAACTTTTTAACGAGATGCTTATTACGATACGAAAAGATGTACCTAGTCCTTGTTTATGCATTGAAATGATCTAGGCCGCGGTACAGAGCTAATAGCGACTCACCCATTCTCCCTGCGAGGAATCTGGATTGGAGTTGACAGTTGTACATAGTTTGTACATCAGAAAGACCCCGCATTCCTTATTTACGCCGTTTATGAGCAACAATGCCCAGGACAAGGTACTATACTATCCATTTAGACTATTGCCTTGGGCCCTATTTTTCGAAACTTCCAATCTGTAAATCTCGTCTATTAACCGTGGGCAATGTATATCAACTAAAATCACGAAATCTTTTTTTTGTGTCTCAATTACTATTTCTCCTAATATGCAGCGTCAGTCATGTGTGTGCCTACGTTCCATATTTACGCAGTCAGTTGTCCTCGAGCGACTTTTTCTCTTCTAAAGCCTTCTGATTATCCTCTGCCAACTTTTCTTGAGCCTGTTTGAGATCCTTTGCAAACTCTGTAGCCAGCTGACGTACGTTCTTCTTGGCCTGCTCGATGGTTGGGTTTTCTTCTAAGTAGTTGTAAAGATCTTGCCTGGTATCCCTGATTTGTAGCATGTACACACCACACACGTCATCCAGAGCAACCCATTTGGAATAGTATTGCACTGCACTTTTCTTGAAGCCCGTTGATGTCCAAAACTTCAGTCGCTTTTCGTCATCATACTTATCCAAGGCCTTTTGCACCAATTTCTGCATTTCTCCTTTGGCTATAGACTCGCAGTGGCTTTGCATTTGCTGCCAGAACACTGCTGCTTTCATCATAATGGCAGATAACGATTTGAGTGCGCCAATGGAGCTGTGCAATGCCTCTATAGCTGCTTCTGCCAAGGCGTTGTCATCTTGACACCTCTTTATCTTCTCGGCAAATTCAATGCACTCTTCTATGGCCTTTTGGCGAATTTCTCGTTCTTTCTGCAACTCATCTAGATGCTTCATCTTTTCTTGATTTGCCATCTTCATAGCTTCTTTGTAGCCCGACTTATCACCAATTTTCTCTATCGCTTCGGCGGCTTTTTCCATATTTCCTGTCATAGCGTTGCCTGCAGCACTTATCATTCCATTAAATATACTTCCCACGGCGCTTAGAAGGCTGTCTTGCTTATCCAAAGCCTTATCTTCTTTTTCTTGGGCCTTGTCATATAACAGTTGCGCTTTTGCTTCCGCTTCAAGAGCATTCTTTTGCCTTTGCTCTGCTTGCTTCATTCTCGATTCAAAGTCCTTTCGTTCTTCCTCACGAGTTTTCTTTTGCTTTTCTTCGACGCCTTTTGCTTTCTGAGTGTCTTCCAAAGCGTCAATGACATCATCTGTAGCCTTTTCAAAGTCGCTGTGTAATTCGTCTGCGGCCTTCGCCATTTCTGCTGCGACGTCTGTCAACATCGAAAGTGTTTCCAGAGCCATATCTTCGAATCCATCCAACAGATACTGATAGGTGCTCTTCAGCTCGTGGAGCACACTTTGCGATGCGCCTTTAAATTGGTGCACCGTGACTGCTGATTTGTCGGCCAGCTTTGTTACTTTATATCCGACTCTCTGTACTTTAATCTGGACCTCGGTGTGCCCTGCCACGCCGTTGTAAGCCACACGAATGAAGTTACCGAGTTTTCCCAGGTCGTCCACAAGACTTTGGAGATCAAGCGAACCAAGCAGAAGATCTTTGGCTTTCAGCACCATTTGGCTTTTTGCATCTGGAATGGTAACAAGATCGAAGGTTTCGTCACCAATGACAACCTGACAGTCAGCCATTTCGTGTTCTAGGATTCTTCTTTTTACGCAGTTTTAAGTTTTGGACACACAAGGCGTTGTGCAGTTTTCTAGCAAATGCACTCGAATGTGCTAAATGTGAGACAATTTACGTGTTTGTGGCGGTCTATTCTCGGAAAATGATCAATTAATCATTGTTGATGGTAAGATAGATACATATCTGACCATTGCTGGCCATTTCGTACCATATATGGTCAAAATTAGCACGAGAAGTTACAGCTATATTACTTTATTAGAAAAAAAAGCTTTCCCTTTGGATCTAGGCATTTAAGTGTTTTTTGTTTTCCTCCATAGAACCGTGCCATCATTGCTTTTCACGAAATGTTTATCACTAACTGGGCTTCATGTTCCCTAAAGGCCAATGCGAAAAGCCCGGCTGACGTGATCTTGAAACCACTGATAATAATAAGAAAACGATAAGAAACGTTATGTTTTATTAGAGACGAAGAGACTGTTTATAGTTTTTAAGATAAATAGTAACTAAACCAGTCCGGATATTTCTCAGTGTGCAAAAATGACTCTCGCAGACAGGCAGGTGATGCAGCCCAGTTTTTTCGTAACTGAGCTTGCTGTCACTCCCAGACCAGCCATAACGAAATCTGCACTTGGTTGAACGAATTGAGATGTTGAACAGAACATCTACAGTTCGTTTTTATTTTTTTTGTTTTGTTTTTGAGAGCGGCTCAAAGTCTCGTGACATCTCACCTGAGTGCTGGTATTTTTCGTACGATAGTTAGTGTATAGTAATTGATATGGGTAGTTACCTTCAATATCAACATAATAATGAAGATGTTTCTTGGAAACTAGGATAGGCACTTGGCACATAGTTTGTGGTGTGTTGTAATTTCTCTCCTCGGTATTAAGACGTTCTAAGCAGCTTGAAACTAAAGTTTTACCATCATGTCACTAATCGCAACAAGTTCTAGGTGTTTCAACGCAATGGAAGCAGCCGTGGAGGCAGTGAAAACCGGTAACGTTGACAGCTCAGAGGTTATGATTAAATCCATAAGACAAGACGGAGTGTTGTTACAAAAACAGGCGTCAATCCTCTGTGATGAGTTCAAACAGGGCGAAAAGAAGCGGCAAGAATCAGACGAGGATCTAACTAGGCAGATAAACAAGTTACACGCCGAAGAGGTTGAGCTTAAAAACAGGAGGCAAGGTTTGGAAGCGAAGAAATCAGCGCTGAATGAAGAGAGAGAACGTTGCTACCGCAACAAACGAGATGCATCTCGGAGATACGAAAATGCAAAGGCAGAGAAGAGAGAAGCTGAAGAGAAATTCGAGGAAGCGAAAAAATGGTGTTGGGTGCCTGGTTACGGCACGTTTCTAGTCGTTCGAGAACTTGTTGAAAACAATGAGGAAAAGGCTCGTGATGCACGCAGAGAAATGGAGCGTTATGACGGAGAAATAAGCAGAGCCGAAAGTAACATCCGGTCGGCAAACACCGCTATTTCGCAGGTAGGTGTCTTATTTCTTTTACGTGTTCTTTTATTGTCATAGGCAAAAAAGCATGTAAAGCGAAACTCTCAACTATAGCTACGAAACTTTTTGCTTTCGAAGTGTGTTTCTCATTTGTCTAGCCCATTTTACGTTAAGCGAAAAATAATCGGGCACTTAAAGGGCCGAATGTTTCACTTTCCGACACTTCGGCCTCCGAATCACCTTCGCGTCAATTTAACACGGATTCCAGTATATGATGTTCCATCAAGCTCAGCATGCTGTTTCATCATCTCTTTGTACTGCTGTTCTGTTCAGTGATATCGCTCATTTTACAGGCCAATTTTTCATATTTTTCTGCAGGCAGAGAAGGACCAAAATGACATTTCAAAGAAAGTGGCAGACCTAAATAGACGACGAGAATCATGTCACGAGGAGCTTGGTAAAATCAAGACGTTGATTTCATTCATCATGCAAGCTACTACATTCTGGGAGGAAGTGATCATGCTCGCCAACGCAGCAACAGTCAAAACCGAACAGGTTGAAAAGATTGTGGATCGGGCTGCCAAGAAAAATAGTGTCAAGATTCTCAGTAGCAGAGGTACAGAGACTAAGATGAGGTCATTCAAAGAATCCTGGATGGAAGTAGCAGAGATGTTTGCTTCTGAAGAAAACAAGCTGCTATTAAACGGTGAGCTACATAGATCGAAACTTGCATTTATGTAGGCATAAAGTACACTAATTAGGTAAGCAGTACTTTTGTAAAACAACTCAGGAGTGTTCCATGTTGTTGTATCATTGTTGTTTTCATTTTGATAAAACGCATTTTCCACTTCCGTGCGTAGGTTGTTGAGATCATTTATCGTTCAACTTACTGCTTTTTTTCTTTGCACTACATGGAATCTATCTTTCGGCACCATACCCCAAACCCTCTCCTCTTTTAGCCTTTTCTTTGGCCTTCTAATTTCAATGAAATCCAGTGGTATGGTGCCTAAAAATATATACGTTCGCAGTGCATGTTACCATGTAGTACGTGTGAAACCGTAGTAATTTTGTACTAAGAATAATTGCGTTCTTCATGTGTAATACACTAAACTAAATTGTAAATGCTCATTTTATTTTTTCCAACAGAAAGATTCTTCGTAATGTCTCAGTGAATGTTTCTGCCATTTTGCCGTTCACGTACACTAGACTCAATGATATAGATGGATACGGTTCCTGCAGCACCTTTGCAATGGCGATTCATGTAGTGTACACCTTGTATTACTAAGAGCCTAATCTCTGAGTTGCAACTCTTTGCCTTATTGGATTTTCTTCAGAATAACCGTTGCTATTGACAGGGTCGTAACATGGTATATCCGAGACCCATTGATCCCTATTTTCTTGCCGTTATTTTGATCCCTGAGCCCCATTTTCCCCACAATTTTGATCCCTGAGCCCTAATAAAAAAATTGATCCCATCCATGTTTTTACACAAAATCTTTTATCAGACAACTTTGTTTATCTCCAAATATAGAATATAGAACATGCTCAAATGGGCTGATGCGAAAAACATTAGCTTTAATTTTTAGTGCAAATTGTAGGTTCTATCAGAGCTTTAAAGACAATATGAGTAAACCTCTTTTTGTGCATTATTCTATTTAAAACACTTTAAATATAATGTTTGGCGATACTAGACAAATGATAAAACCTGATTTTCTTGAACGGGAGCTTTAGTAAGATACAGAATGTAAGTTATGGTCAGTTATTCTTAATTTGTACATTAAAAGTAGTCCACTTCCCTTTAAGTATCGTACATCTTGAAGATCTTGCGGCGGAATCTTGATTTTCTCAGATGCAACGTTCATCAAGAGTATTTACAAGGTTTATTTTCAGTGTTGCTCATACGAGCAAGGCCACCCGTAAGTTTATAAGCCAATCACAAGAAAGCATTGGCTTCAAAATTCGAATAAATACATTTTTAGTCAAAAAGCAACCACAGCTAGCGCTGGTTGGTCCCCGGTCGAATCCACGTCACTGTAAGGTACCTCTGAACTAAGGTCTTCCTCCAGCTTTCCAATTCCTGTCCCGTACGAACATCTGCTTGCCCGGATAACTTGTCCAGTTAATCAATGTCCGATCTGGGTGGGTCACAAATGTTTTATTTCTAAAGAGACTCTCGCAACCAAAAATTTCACGTCGGTCGTGTTACTGGTCTACAATATTGATGTTAATAAAGTGTAATCGTTTTTTTCACGATTCAGTCAGTTAATGATGTAGATCGCGACGTTTCAATTGCGTACTTCAAGTGTTCATTAGAAAACGCAGCACTTAAAGACCTTGCCTTGCTAGTCTTCGTCGACTGGTCACACGTGAACTTATATGACTCCAAGCTCTGGTTCTGGTTAATCGATTATTAGCTGCTGAGATTGGTACATTTCTTACTCCATTGTTTGAATGAGCTTTTGCCTCACTGGTCCACTGTCGTACGGATCTCCTATTACTGTTTTTCTTGATTAAGGGCAACCAAGCTTCTGGACTTTCTACTCTGCTATCCCTGTTGATGTTGTTAGAGTGCAGTCTTACGTGAGTTTCCTCTTTTACTCTGTGTGTGTTACAGTGAGGATCACGATCAATTACCAATAGCAAAATAACTGCTTTACATGAAGTAGAAAAATTAAATGATGCAAGCCACAGGTTCTACAGTTTAACAGCTTTTCTGTGTCAAGCCCATTAATGGCTTTTCCTCGCTTAATACCCATTGTAGATTGTTAGAGGACATATCTGACTGTAGGTCTTCCAGACCTACTCCTTCCAGCTTCAAATCTAATTGGCTCTGAAAAGTTGTCCGCCTGAGCTTAATGCTCCCCTTCCTCTTCGTCACCACCTGACGCAGGTAATTCATCTGGTTCAACTGACCCCTGGAGCAATGCAACCAGGCGTTGCTCTTCAAGGCAGGTCAAACAGAAGTTATTTTCATCTTTTATTATTTAAACTTTCCCGATGATACACTCAGGTAAACTTCTATCGTCACGTTAACCAGTCTCCAGTATACAAGGGGATCTTCTTCTAACTGTTCCAGCCATCTCAAACCCATGTGATCTTCCAGGAATGCGTCACCCGGCGTTATGGTGGAGATCTTTAAAAAGAACTGCAAGGAAGAAAGGAATGATATACCTCCTGTAATTGTGCTTGAGAGCAATTACGACGCCTTTTGAATAGATAATCTCATATTCTTCGGCTGCGTCTTGAACTGTAGTTTGTCCTTCACTCCCTTGAACCTCTTTCAGCAGATCGACTTCTCCATGTGCCGACGCATTCCTTCTGAACATACTCAGAGCAAGTGGAAGTGTACCAGCTCTTTCTTTGGTCTTCCCTCTTGTTCGTTGCTGTCGTACACACCCGTCCGAATACTTTCGCAAAGCTCTGCAATGCCTTCCGTTATCGCTCCTTTGCCTCAGCGCTCGCTTCCTCGTCCAAATCCTCCTTAAGGTTTACTCTTGCCGTACAACTTTCGAAGCCATTCCAGTGCCTTTGGACCCAGCTTTCTCTGTGTGTAATGGCTTTGAGGACCGGTATAAAAGATAAACGAGGATTGGTAGAGCCTCTCTATTGATTCTAAAAGGCAGCTGGACCGCCGCGATGCGTAGTCGTTCAGAGCGAGTGAAAAAAGAAATTCAGGCTCCAAATCTAAGGTGGTGATACCTTTCGGGGTCAACCATTACATAAGCCGAGGCCTAATAGCCCAAAGGGCCGAAAAAATTCTTGTACATCAATGTTGTCACTAAGGTCTGTAAATTTTGTGCAAAACAAAATAGCCACTGCACTGAAAAAATCTTGCATGAAAAAAATAACCCATCCCCGGCTCAAAAATCAAATAGTGGGCCCCTTACTGGTGGCCCTTCATGCTGAGTGCTATAATATATTAAATTCCTGCAGACTCTGCTACTTGTACCTAGTATGCAACATTCCTTTCACCAATTCAACCGTTTATTTTGTATAAAAAAAAAAAACTAAAGAAAATAAACTATAAAGGTTTTGTTACTTTTATTTCACCGAGGTAAGTCTTTGTTGTTCCACTTATTTTCAGTAATTCTATACTGTAACTTCAGACTATTTATTATAATAGAGTTATCAGTTATACAGTAATGAAAAGTGTCCTTTACTTTCCCGGCCCAATGCTAATACTGGTAGGTGAACCGATCTCGGTTTCTCATCAGAGTTCGAGCTCCATGAAATTAGAGCAGATTTATTAAATTGCGAGAAATCATTTATTTTGCAACAAAGCGCGCGAATTCATTGCACTCTAATTATTTAAGTACTTTTACTTAAAGAGTTAGAGTTAAGTCACTGGTCAAAAAATACGAAACTCGATTTATAGTCGCCTTGTGACTTGCTTGAGGCGATGAGGCAATCGGGACCTATAAGTAAATTCCGCTTTCAATAAATCGGTTTGTCTATTGTCCTAGCGGTATTGTTATGTTTGATCGGCCGAAAAACTCTGTGCTTGGACCCTTGCCAGGAGTAAATCAATCAAGGAAGTACTGACGTACCTTTCTCTGTCACAGGATTTCTTTTTGTCCTTTTTCTTCTTCCCCATCTCTCGCCAAAAAAGATATGTATAAGTCGCTTTCTTTGCCCTCTGGCGTTGACAGCGCGTTGAGGAGTTACAAAGCGAGAAAAGTGACTTGAGATTCATATTACGGTGCTCTCAACAATTAATAAATTAACAATATGATACCATGTTTTCGTCACACAACCAGGACTTCGTATGACAGGAACTACCGCCAGCCGGAAGCAAGAATAGGTAACGTACCTCGAACAGGAAATNTTTTGTTACTTTTATTTCACCGAGGTAAGTCTTTGTTGTTCCACTTATTTTCAGTAATTCTATACTGTAACTTCAGACTATTTATTATAATAGAGTTATCAGTTATACAGTAATGAAAAGTGTCCTTTACTTTCCCGGCCCAATGCTAATACTGGTAGGTGAACCGATCTCGGTTTCTCATCAGAGTTCGAGCTCCATGAAATTAGAGCAGATTTATTAAATTGCGAGAAATCATTTATTTTGCAACAAAGCGCGCGAATTCATTGCACTCTAATTATTTAAGTACTTTTACTTAAAGAGTTAGAGTTAAGTCACTGGTCAAAAAATACGAAACTCGATTTATAGTCGCCTTGTGACTTGCTTGAGGCGATGAGGCAATCGGGACCTATAAGTAAATTCCGCTTTCAATAAATCGGTTTGTCTATTGTCCTAGCGGTATTGTTATGTTTGATCGGCCGAAAAACTCTGTGCTTGGACCCTTGCCAGGAGTAAATCAATCAAGGAAGTACTGACGTACCTTTCTCTGTCACAGGATTTCTTTTTGTCCTTTTTCTTCTTCCCCATCTCTCGCCAAAAAAGATATGTATAAGTCGCTTTCTTTGCCCTCTGGCGTTGACAGCGCGTTGAGGAGTTACAAAGCGAGAAAAGTGACTTGAGATTCATATTACGGTGCTCTCAACAATTAATAAATTAACAATATGATACCATGTTTTCGTCACACAACCAGGACTTCGTATGACAGGAACTACCGCCAGCCGGAAGCAAGAATAGGTAACGTACCTCGAACAGGAAATTCCATGGACACAAACCTTATTATGCGGAAAAATATTGTGATAAGAGATTTTTAGACCGTGTAATAAATCTGATCCCTGATTCGGGCTCGAAAGCCTTGTGATCCCTGATCCAATTCTTCTGAGCCCTGAGCCCTTTCCTCTGAACCCTGATCCCAGTCATATTTTGGGCTTTGAGCCTTGAGCCCATATACCATGTTACGACCCTGTATTGAATGTTTTAGGAGTTGTCTTATCTGGTTTTGTATTATTTATTTGTTATCCAATGAAAATTCCATGTATTGTTGTGACATATCTTATTGTTCATTTTATCCCTGCACTAGCTAATGCTTCATACCAAAACAAACGAGATGCATCTCGGAGATACGAAAATGCAAAGGCAGAGAAGAGAGAAGCTGAAGAGAAATTCGAGGAAGCGAAAAAATGGTGTTGGGTGCCTGGTTACGGCACGTTTCTAGTCGTTCGAGAACTTGTTGAAAACAATGAGGAAAAGGCTCGTGATGCACGCAGAGAAATGGAGCGTTATGACGGAGAAATAAGCAGAGCCGAAAGTAACATCCGGTCGGCAAACACCGCTATTTCGCAGGTAGGTGTCTTATTTCTTTTACGTGTTCTTTTATTGTCATAGGCAAAAAAGCATGTAAAGCGAAACTCTCAACTATAGCTACGAAACTTTTTGCTTTCGAAGTGTGTTTCTCATTTGTCTAGCCCATTTTACGTTAAGCGAAAAATAATCGGGCACTTAAAGGGCCGAATGTTTCACTTTCCGACACTTCGGCCTCCGAATCACCTTCGCGTCAATTTAACACGGATTCCAGTATATGATGTTCCATCAAGCTCAGCATGCTGTTTCATCATCTCTTTGTACTGCTGTTCTGTTCAGTGATATCGCTCATTTTACAGGCCAATTTTTCATATTTTTCTGCAGGCAGAGAAGGACCAAAATGACATTTCAAAGAAAGTGGCAGACCTAAATAGACGACGAGAATCATGTCACGAGGAGCTTGGTAAAATCAAGACGTTGATTTCATTCATCATGCAAGCTACTACATTCTGGGAGGAAGTGATCATGCTCGCCAACGCAGCAACAGTCAAAACCGAACAGGTTGAAAAGATTGTGGATCGGGCTGCCAAGAAAAATAGTGTCAAGATTCTCAGTAGCAGAGGTACAGAGACTAAGATGAGGTCATTCAAAGAATCCTGGATGGAAGTAGCAGAGATGTTTGCTTCTGAAGAAAACAAGCTGCTATTAAACGGTGAGCTACATAGATCGAAACTTGCATTTATGTAGGCATAAAGTACACTAATTAGGTAAGCAGTACTTTTGTAAAACAACTCAGGAGTGTTCCATGTTGTTGTATCATTGTTGTTTTCATTTTGATAAAACGCATTTTCCACTTCCGTGCGTAGGTTGTTGAGATCATTTATCGTTCAACTTACTGCTTTTTTTATTTGCAATACATGGAATCTATCTTTCGGCACCATACCCCAAACCCTCTCCTCTTTTAGCCTTTTCTTTGGCCTTCTAATTTCAATGAAATCCAGTGGTATGGTGCCTAAAAATATATACGTTCGCAGTGCATGTTACCATGTAGTATGTGTGAAACCGTAGTAATTTTGTACTAAGAATAATTGCGTTCTTCATGTGTAATACACTAAACTAAATTGTAAATGCTCATTTTATTTTTTCCAACAGAAAGATTCTTCGTAATGTCTCAGTGAATGTTTCTGCCATTTTGCCGTTCACGTACACTAGACTCAATGATATAGATGGATACGGTTCCTGCAGCACCTTTGCAATGGCGATTCATGTAGTGTACACCTTGTATTACTAAGAGCCTAATCTCTGAGTTGCAACTCTTTGCCTTATTGGATTTTCTTCAGAATAACCGTAGCTATTGAATGTTTTAGGAGTTGTCTTATCTGGTTTTGTATTATTTATTTGTTATCCAATGAAAATTCCATGTATTGTTGTGACATATCTTATTGTTCATTTTATCCCTGCACTAGCTAATGCTTCATACCAACTCTGTTGTTGCGAGAAGCATGTAGTGAAAAGGTTTAAGACAGATTCAGGCTCTTGTAGCCTTAGCATTTTGCAAAATTCAGCTTTATTTTTGATACAAGTGATACGAAAACTGTAAACTAGCGAGGGAGTTTAAGATTGCAGAATCAGGTATCTCCAACCATTGAAATTTTCAGATATTATAAAAGTTAGAATTAAATGATAAGTTAAAAAAATACATTTCCACCAAGAACAATAAACTGAAAACCCTTTTATCAAAAATGGCGAAAAGACCGTTTGTGTAAATAACGGTAATAAAAGTGTACTCCAAGTTAATATGTATCATAGTTTGTGATTTTACTGTAATATTGTAATAATAATAAATGTATTGAAAAAGTACTGAATTATAAAAGAAAGACTTTAAGAACGATTCCGGTTTTAAGTGATCGTTTAATAAATAAATGTAATTTATAAAATCCCGTTGTAGTTACCGAATGAAAACGATTAACCGGATACAGACAGCGCGTGCAACGACCTGGAGTTTTGTCATGGCTTGTCCTTCTCAACTCAGATTTTGCAGTTGCGACTAGCTAGGAAAAGAGAAGCCTCCTCTGTCAGCTAATGATAAACAAAATGCTCCTTGGTTTCCCCAAGTTTCTTTTATGAGAGAAGACGATCATATGCACGCGGCACTTTCATAATCACTATTCAATTTACAATATGGAAATTCGTATCTTTTTCATTTATAAACACTTTTTTATTCCGGATTTTAACACTGAAAATTCCTGTATGAACTGAAACTAAAAAAAAACTTTAACCCACAGGACAAACCTTACTGAGACTGCCTTAAAAAATGCTTATTCGTAGGAAAAACGTAGCAAACAGAGTTGAGTGATGTTCGTTGAAAACTAATCTTCTGTTTACATTAATTCACTGACCTAGACAAATACATCTGGATAGTGGTCACAATATTTTGGTTTTACAAAGGAAGTTGTCTCAGAAACTTTATTGTTCTTATCGAAGTTATTTTTTGAAAGCGGATCTTGGTGGTCAGCACGAAAAAAGTTGCTTAATTTACTATGTAACATAAACAACTTATGACTATCTCAAGCAGACTTAACATTAAGAGAAATTCCAAGATAGCTAGAATTTTACATCACAACGATACTTTTATTTCCATCAGGGGTTGCTGTGAGTACTTACGCGTTTTCAATATCCAGCTAAAAACTATTAGTTAATGCTCTCAACCCATAACCCCTTAGATAAAAGCAAGTAACTAGACCAGAATTATTATGGGGAAAAGGGGTAAGGGATGAAGTACTCCAAATATGGACAGCAAAGGGGGGAGGTGATAATACTCTCTAGGGAGTGATAATCCCCCAGGATAGTGAGAGGTTATAATCCTCTCTTGGGGGTGATAATCCCCCAGAATAGTGAGAAGCTAGGTGATAATCCTCCCAAGGAGTTGAAA